AAAACGGTGCATATTGGTACCACGCTTTCCTCCAAATAGGAAAGCGCGCTCGTCGACTTCCTCCGCAGCAACAAAGACATATTTGTGTGGAAACCCTCGGATATGCTAGGCATTCTGAGGGAGGTCGCCGAGCATACCTTGAAGATCCACCCAGGCTCTAAGCCGGAGAAGCCACGCCTGCGTCGCTTCAACAAGGAGAAACGCAGGGCCATCGGTGAAGAGATAGCAAAACTATCAGCTGCCGAATTCATCAAGGAAGTATAACACCTAGAGTGGTTAGCTAATCCTGTTCTTATATGAAAGAAGAATGGGAAATGGAGGATGTGTGTTGACTATACGGGTCTCAACAAGGCGTGCCCAAAGGATCCGTTTCCTTTGCCACGCATAGACCAAATAGTTGACTCTACCTCGAGGTACGAAACCCTCTGCTTCCTTGATGCGTACTCCGGCTACCATCAAATCGTGATGAAAGAGTCTGACCAGCTCGCGACATCGTTCATCACCCCCTTTGTATCGTTCTACTATGTCTCAATGTCGTTCGGTATGAAGAACGCTAGGGCTACGTACCAGCGTTGTATGCTCAAATGCTTCGGGGACCTCATCGGGCGGACCGTTGAGGCCTACGTTGACGACATTGTGGTTAAGTCCAAACGGGCTAACCACCTCATTGCCGATCTCGAGCAAACCTTTGCAAAACTCTGAGCGAATGGCATCAAACTCAATCCTGAGAAATGTGATTTCGGGGTCCCGAGGGGCATGTTGCTCGGCTTTATGATCTCCGAGCGTGGCATCGAAGCCAACCCGGAGAAAATCTCAGCCATCACAAGAATGGGCCCGATTCAGAACATAAAGGGGGTTCAGCGAATCATAGGGTGCCTCGCCGCACTCAGCCGATTCATCTCGCGCCTCGGCGAACGAGGTCTCCCCCTTTATCGACTCTTGAAGAAAGCCGACCACTTCGAGTGGACATCCGAGGCCTAGGAGGCACTTGACATGGTCAAATTGCTTCTGACAAGGGCCCTGATCTTGGTTCCTTCGACCAATGGAGAATCCCTTCTGCTATACATAGCGGCCACCACGCAAGTGGTTAGTGCCGCCCTAGTAGTGGAGCGGGAAGAAGAGGGACACGCCCTCATGGTACAGTGCCCTGTGTACTTCATCAGCGAGGTACTATCCGACTCCAAGACCCGCTACTCCCAAATCAAGAAGCTCCTGTACGCCGTCCTCATCACCAAGAGGAAGCTATGCCACTACTTCGAATCACACACCGTGATGGTTGTGACATCATTCCCCCTCGGTGAGGTCGTCCAGAGGTAGGACGCCATGGGAAGAACTGCAAAGTGGACGCTCGAGTTGATGGATCAAGGCATCACGTATGCCTCCCGAACGGCGATCAAGTCCTAGGTGTTGGCTGACTTCATGGCGGAATGGACCGAGGTCCAAACACCACCGACGATCGTCGATCAAGAGTACTGGACGATGTACTTCAACGGATCACTGATGAAGAAGGGCGCCAGCATAGGGCTGGTCTTCGTATCACCCCTCGGGGTTCGCATGAGGTAGATGGTTTGTCTCCATTTCCCCTCATCCAATAATGTGGCTGAGTATGAAGCGCTCATCAACGGCCTACGCATCGCCATCGAGTTGGGCATCCGACGCCTCAACATTTGGGGCGACTCCCAGCTGGTCGTGAACTAAGTCATGAAGGAGTTGAGCTGTCACGATGCCAAGATGGCTGCGTACTGCCAAGAAGTCCAATGGCTGGAGGACAAATTCGACGCCTCGAACTCAATCACATCCCAAGGCGCCTCAACGAAGCGGCTGACGTGCTTGCAAAAGTGGCGTCCGGCCAAGAGTTGGTGCCAACGGGTGTCTTCGCCAGCGACCAACACAAGCCCTCGGTACACAACGAAGGGTCAGAATGGGCTGACGATGGTCCGTCCGATCCAGCCTCAGGTGCTAACCAACCGACGGCTCCGTCTAGCCCTGAGGTCATGGAGCTTGAAGAGGATCCAGCGACAGAGCCTGACCCTCTGGTCGACTAGAGAACACTCTACCTCGACTACATCCTACATGACACACTGTCGACGAACAAGACAAAAGTTCGATGGCTCGCACATCGCGCCAAGTCCTTCGTTCTTGGAGAAGGCGAACTCTACAAATGAAGCCACGTTGGGATCCTGTAGCTCTGTATCCCCATCGAGCAGGGGAAGCTTTTGCTGAGCAATATCCACGGTGGGGTCTACGGTCACCACGCCGCACCTAGAACCTTAGTTGGGAACGCATTCCAATAGGGCTTCTACTGGCCCACTGTAGTAGCTGACGCCGAGCATATCGTGCGCACCTACGAAGGGTGTTAGTACTACGCTCGGCAAACTCACCTCCTGGCCCAGGCACTCTAGCTGATCCCCATCACATGGCCCTTCACGGTCTGGGAGCTCGATCTGGTTGGACCTCTCAAGAAGGCGCCCAGGGGCTACACCCACTTACTTGTCACCATAGACAAGTTTACAAAGTGGATAGAAGCTCGACCGATCTCCGTGATCAAATCTGAGCAAGTCGTGCTGTTCTTCCTTGACACCATCCATCGCTTTAGAGTACCGAACTCCATCCTCACGGACAACAGCACACAGTTCACCGGCAAGAAATTCCTTCGATTCTGCGATGAACACCACATTCGGGTCGATTGGGCCACCCTCGTGCACCCCCGAACGAACGGGCAGGTCGAGCACGCAAACGGCATGCTCCTATAGGGCCTCAAGCCCAGGATCTTCAACCGATTGAATAAATTTGACGCACACTGGGTCGTCGAGCTCCCCATGGTGCTCTAGAGCCTAAGGACAACTCCCAGCCGAGCCACTGGCTACATGCCTTTCTTCATGGTCTACAGTTCCGAGGCCGTCCTCCCAACCGACCTCAACTATGGAGCACCTAGAATCAGATCATACGACGAATAGGGAGCCAAGGCATCCCATGAAGACGCCATGGACCAGCTAGACGAAGCTCGCGACATCGCCCTCCTCCGTTCGGCCAAGTACCAGCAGTCACTGCGATGGTACCACAACCGACGGGTGTGGGACCGAGCCTTTAGCGTTGAGGACCTGGTTCTCCACCTCGTGCAGAGCAACAAGGACCGCCACAAGGTCTCCTCGCCCTGGGAGGGGCCGTACGTCATCGCGAAGTACTCCGACCAGGCGCCAACAAGTTGAAAACCATCGACGGCGAGGTCTTCGCCAACGCCTGGAACATTGAGCGGCTACGTTGTTTTTACCCCTAAATAAATGCATACTTTCTCTTATCAATTTTTGTCATCAAAATCCCCGATCTTTCGTGACATCCGACCCCTGCAAGTGCGAGGCGTCGGACCTCACTCGGGGGCTGGTACGAGTATGTTTATCTTGCAAACACTCTCTGTGTTATCTTGTAAACATTCTCTGTGTTTTCCCTCTTTTCTCATGGTAAGTCCCAAGGACTAGAATTTCAGGAACAAAATCTGAGTATAATTGGTAGGACTACGGGAAACCCACGTTCCAGCGGCTATGGTCTCCTTGCTCACCAGCGTGATAAGAATTGGCTCGCTCGCACTTTGAGTTTTTTTGTGACCTTAACTACAGGAAGGGTCGGAAGGCACATAACATCTTTTACAAAAAGAGGGAGAAGAGCTGAAAAGTTGTTTGTCGTAACGAAATTTAAGAACTTATTCATTTTTTGCACAAATTCATCGCTTACAAAGTGATTTTATCACGAAAAGGGACTGATGTATTCATGAATATAAAAGACTGTTCCCACGGGGGCTCCCCCCACAACTTAAACGATTACACTTTCCTTACTAGATCTACTCTAAGTACTACTATGGTCGACGCGCCATGTTCTCCATCGACAACGTCCTACTGCTCCACAGGATCCCAAAGGATGTCGTCGCCTGCAACGTCGAGCACCACGTCGGTGACCATGGCACCTTCGCCGAGGCGTCCAGGGACTACAGTGTTGTGGGCGCCGCCGTTAGCCCCTCGGCGCGGATCCTAACACAGGCATACAACAACCACTACAGTCTAGGAGGGAACTCACATCATCAACAGTAACGAACGTATCACTTCCCTGTCTGCTCCCCGTAGGGCCACGGCTCGGTACCCTGACGCGCCGCATCGTCCGCTAGAGTAGGATGGGACGCGACCACTAGCTGACCAAAGCCAGGGCACGACCCTATCAGGATCAGCGAACGTGCTATCCCTGGCATGGTCTGCCATGACAGCAGGGCAGGCTCGAGGGAAAAGGAAGGCCTGACACTTTCGAAGGACCCTCTCTACCTCTGATTTTTTCCTTTTTCTCCCATCTGTAATCCCTGCCCCCCTGTCTATAAAAGGGAGGGCAAGGCGCCCCGCTAAAGGGACGGATCAATTTGACATACATCACATATACATCCAAGTAGCAACCGAGTTCTTGGCGTCCTTTCGACCTTTCCATCAGAGACTTGGGACTTGTCCCTCTCTTGACCGTTTGTACCCCCTACTACGAACCTTTTTTGGTGCTAATAACACAAGTAACAGCAGACTAGACGTAGGGACATTCTGCCCGAACCAGTATAAACCTTGTGTCCTTTAGCACACCATCCGGGCCTAACGCGCAACAAATATAAATTTACTAGTTGGTGTTTATTCGAAACACCGACAACAGTGTAAGTTTATAAAGATACCTACCTAGAGCAAACAATTTTAAAGACCAAAAGATACCCAAAAACAAAAATAAAAGGCAAAATTAAGAAAACTTGCATTATCATCAGAAAAAGAATTACCTTCTCACTCACAAAGCTACCTGCACTGTGTCAGAAGGTGTCCTAAGATTGTTTCGAGGTTTCATCATCTGATTCAAAGAAAAAGATAGAGATACAGTTCAACAACGTCAAACACCGAGAGATATAGTTAAGGATGTTAAGGATTCAGATGCAGAGATGTCTGTGCATCACTCGCTCGGCAAAAGCCGGCCTTGGATCAAGTGTTGGATTATGCATCAGGATACAAATTTTTAAAAAAATAACAAACAGCAACAAGCTCAAGTATTGTTGTAACACGCCTGTTGTGAGGTAGGGGGCTGGGGCGAGGGCAGGGGGAGGCGGCTATGGAGGAGTTATTCATGCTAAGCTGCTGGAGATTCTCAAGCAAGCTAGCAACATTAGCAAGTTCATTGTTCTTGGACTGCATAGTGACCTCTGTTGGCTTCGTCATCTGCAGGTTTTAAGGAACAATGTGTCAGCCAATGCATAAGTCTATGCGATAAAAATTCTCTACCAATTTTTACATCACTCTGCAGTCTGCATCCATGAAGCCAGTTTCAGAGGATTGGTGAAAACAACATTAGTTGACCTGGACACTGACAAAATAGGCACTTCACTGAGCTATAATTCATTAGCATATTTTTCAAACTTCAAAGCCCCTTAAATCTAGTAAGCACCACTTGTAGTTATATGTAGCTATGGGACACTCAAGCCAAACTATCAATACATAAAGAACCTGAAAGACCTGTTACTTATGTGCTATGTTTCAATCTTGCCTCAGCATCCACAGAAAAATAAAACAAAAGAGAGAAGTGAGAAGAGGTTTCTTTGAACTTGATCTGAGCACAAAGAAACTAATCGAATTTCACTGCAGCAGATTAGGATTGCGTACATGGTTTTGTGTCATTGTACGTCATCATCCAAACCAGACCTATAGAGGGCAAAAAATTAGCAAAAATATTAGAGAACATGACAGGAGATTAGGAATAAGTGTGCCAACTAAAACATAATCATACTGAGGTATGTGCCTAAAGAATCCAATTGCAAGGTTTATGCTGAAGCATTTTTTTAAAGTTGTTCAGCATTCTCCTTTTCTTAAGCAATCAAGTTTCATAAGATAAAACAGGGTAAACTAAACTCAAAAGGGTTTTCCCTACTTTATTTCCTAAAAAATATAATTGTAAATTAATAGGCTACAAAAGGGTTTTCCCTACTTTATTTCCCAAAAAAAATATAATTGTAAATTAATAGGCAACATTAGCCTGCAACTGACATAGAAACAACCATACTTCCTTGTACATTATTCTGAAGTACTCCTGAAGGTTGTCTGCAGCTTCTCCCACCAGTGCCTAAGATGAAAAGGAAGAATCAGAAAAATATTGCTTGAATCTCAAAGGTAGAACTGGAGTGCTACAAAAGAGGTGCGCACATCATCATCAGTGATGCCAGTTTGATCATATAAAGCTCTCTTCTCTGCATCTCCAAGAATGGATATAACCTTCTGCAGTTGCTGAAACTTCTCTTTGGCATCCTGGCAGCATATAACATTATATTTGAGATACATTGCACTAAATGACTGTAGAAAAACATTCTGGGTGGAGGCGAAGAGACAATTTGTGATATGCCTTCTTTATTTCTTGTTGTGAAGCAGTCTTCTCAACTCCCAGGACCTTCAAATGATGAGAGAAAAATAAACAAGACATTAAATTACTAAATTGTGATCTGGAAAGAGAACCTGAAAGCGATTCGTGACAACACATTTAGAACAGTTCAGACTTTTAGTCTCATCTGCGGTTATTTACATGACTTGTTTGCGAATACACCTTAAATAAGGAACCAAAAAATTAGGTGGCCATTTTTGTGTCAACCTGGCCGTTTTTAGAGAAGACGTAATCACAAAAAAAGGACAAACCAATTACTTCCAACGTTGCAGAGTTCATCATCAGTGCAATGATTGAGCACCTATGTTTGTCACCAGTTTTGCCAAGCTGCTCGGTGACCTTCACCAGATCGGATCCGCCAACCACGCCCACAGTCACATGCTGCTTCCAAAATAAATAAATATATAAATGAAGCTGTAATTTCTCATCATACAACAAAAAAAAATGTAGCAGGAGCGAGAAGCCGAGCGGGCTCAATTCTCACCTGTCGCAGCTGCTTCATCAACTGCGCGCGGCCAGCGGCATTTCTCCCTGCGGCAGCCATCGCAACCCTAGCCCATGCGGAACCGGATCCGGTGGTGGTGCCTGCGCACGTGAGCCCTCGCCGTCGGAGACGCGCTGGGCTCCAGGGCGTGGCCGTCCTCCCCTGCGTTCGGCGGCGGCGCCGGGGCTATGGGCGGAGGCGATCCTGCCGGCACGGATACGGGAGTAGGCGGCCGGGTCCTGATCGTGTGTTTCCTGTTGGATTTTATTTTATTCGGTGATGACTCCAGGAATCGATCGCTGGTCGCCGAGGTTTAAGCATCGCGGTGTCGTGCGCGTTTGAAGCCCGCGTGCGTGGGACGGAGGGAGACACACTAAACATGAGCCGTCGAATTTAGACGAGTAATGAGAGATAATGACTAAGAGATAATTTGGTGCATTTATTTTGATGGTGTTATATTTTTTGGGTACATTCATGGGTGTGGATGTAGCATAGGTCATGACTGTGGAGCAATCATTTGTTGTGTGACTGTAGATTTATTCTAACTGGTGTATTATAGGATATGGTAGATTTGTAAAGGGTTGTTTTGGCAGCGCTCCTCACGAGGGGCTCATCCGGAGGAGACAAAGTTGTTTTGGAGAAACCATAATTTGTGGCTCCTCGAAAATGGCTCTAACTCCTCTGTTTTTTTTTTTTGAAAAATGGCTTCTACAAAACATTTGGCAGGGCTCCTTCGAAGGAGCTGAAGCCGAGCCGGTGAGAAGCCCTGCCAAATAGGCCCTAAACTTGTAAAGTTGTATGGCAAACGAATGATATTTATGTTTACCTAGCTGCAAGTATGAGATGAAATCGCTGGGTTGAAAATTTAAAAAATAATGGCCCTGTTCGCTTGAACTACTTCACCAGTACTTTTCAATTAATGAATAGTATTTTTCTCTCACAATGAATCAGTATAAGCATCAGCATAAGGGACGTTCAATCGGGTGATCAGTGATTACCTTTCCTTATTTTGTCAACGGCGCCCCCAACGGTGGTGTAATTAACTAGCAGTACAATAATTCTACAAAAAGGATTGGTAGCTGCAGTGCTGTAGTACGCTGGGTGGCATTTGACTTGTGCGTGTGCGTTCACATGAGTGGCAGCAGCAGTATAAATACCTGCGTATACTCCCTAAATATACATGTACTACAGCGAGGCGGACATGTGCCCACATGCTGATTAACTAGTGCAACAAACACAGATTTGTGTAGTATACGTGTTTAGAAGTGCCCACATGCCTTATTTGTTAACTTAAAAAGTACGATTTATAAGCCAAATAAATAAAGAACGTGTTTGGTTCCGCGTATCTACGCGTTACGATTGAGATAAGCCAAAGAATCTCATCAAACGGACTGCGACCAACGCGCGATGGCCGGTTGAAAACGAACACGGGCGGACATTTCCTAAAACGCGGCCTAGAAGGCGCGTTGGCTTATAGTTGTGGAACGAAACAAGCCCTAAGGCGTAAGTGTAAAGTGGCGTCCCTGATGCACGTGCGCGGCACACGAGAGACGCGCGGGAAGTAATAAAAAAAGAAGGAGAAATCGTGAGAGAAATACTCTCGCCTCTCTGTTTCTATTTTCTCTCACAGAAACGCGACGTAGAACCTTGGCACGACCGACCGACACACCGTCAGTGTCCCCATCAGTACTCCGTGTTCGGTCCGTGCATGTGTATGTACCGAAATTTATGGCACCGTAGTTAAGGAAGGAGCAGCACATTTTCATTTGCTCTCCATTCTCCAATAATAACTGTACGTGTAATGGATGTACTGTTGACTGTCCTTGCCGGTAGTACGTGCGGTAGTCAATTACAGGATCTTCCATTTTATGGCCTCGGCGCCTCGTCAGTACTGAATAGCCGATGGACAAAAGCACCGGCCGGCCGGTTCGTCCGGTCGATGTCGCCGTCGGCCGTCCATCGCCGGAAAGCGGAGGAGCATATGCGCGCGCTTCTGCCTGGCGGCGGCGCATGCACCAAAGTCCAAAGGCAAAGGCATCCGTGGGTGGATGCCACTCGCCTTTACCCCGCCGAGAACGTATGAATTGAATTCAGATGACAAAGGTAATAGCCAGGGCCATGTTTAGATTGCAAAAAAAATTGCAACCCGATGAATAGTAGCGTTTTCGTCTTATTTGGTAAATATTGTCCAATCGTGGACCAACTAAGCTCAAAAGATTCATCTCGTAATTTTTCAACTAAACTGTGTAATTAGTTATTTTTTTACCTACATTTAATGCTCCATACAATCAGTTAAAAATTGATGTGATGGAGAGAGAGAAAAAACTTAAAATTTAGAGGTGATCTAAACAAGGCCCAGATTTCAACGCAACCACCGGAACACACCCGGCAGGCTTTGATCTTTTGGCATGTCACGATCGGAGATTAACGGTCTCACGCGTACTGTAGTCGCCTGCGTGTGCATCGGTCAGCCTTGGCCCGGTCGTAATTTCCCTGGACTCTGGAGCTTGGGAAGCAAGAAGAGAACAGGTTGGCGCCATGGCCACGCCATCGCCATGGAAGCGCAGCAGACATCTGCCGTGTCACATATCATTGGTGTCTTCGCGCCTAAAGCTATGGAAGCTCGCTCCGCCACGCTCATCGTCATCGATCGCTATTCGTTCAGGCTCAGCAGCGCAGTCAGCAGTCAGCACATCATGGAGCCACGGGAACACGACTGGCGCCTGGCGGAGGCATGTGAGCAGGCCGTCTGACGGCTCGGAGTCGCAGGACGACTGCCGTCTTTTCACCGGTCGCGTACGCCTCCCCCTGCAGCAGGCTGCGGCTCTGCTCGACGGAATTTCCGGGCCCGTACGTCCGCGCCCATACGCCATACCTCCAGCAGAGAACGCGTGTTCACGTCGACCCCAAATTCTTAAAAATCATGGCTTAAATATCTAAAAACAATTACGAATATTTGGTACCAAATTACGAGGCCGAGCGTTTTGGCCTAATTAGATGATTAAATATAGATAAAAAAACGAAAATCTTCTAATAAATTACAACTTCACGAGGGGGGGGGGGGCGCTACTCTATTTAACGTTTTGTTCGCGAATTTTGGATTTTGGGGTTATTGAAGATCTTCGCTTTTTACCGGATAAAACAAAATACTACATTACCCTAAATTACAACTTCATGGAACTAAACACGCTCGCGAAACAACCAAAGAGAACAGCTCCAGGGCTGAACTGAACCCCAGACGCACGCGGCGCGCTACTCTATTTTATCCCATTTGTTGTTTTTTTGAAGAAAATAATCCCATTTCCCCATTCCTCTCAGGATCGACGTGGTCGGAATAAGCTCAGAACGGACGGCCTGCTTGTCCGTTTTCGTTGGTCACGGTCAGACCAGGATCTACAGGCCCCATCTCATATACTAGTAGTAGTATTATGCCTATTGTACTCCTACCTTGCAACAAATAAGTTGCTTCGTTTGTAGTAGAACTACTAGCTAGGGCATCCGTCGACTGTAACGTTTCCTCCCCTGTCGAGAATGGACGGAATCTGCTAAATTTTGCTTGACGGGAGATGGATGCTGTCCTCCGTTGTCGATTCTCTTTCATCATCAGAAGGAAAAGCAGTGTCACCGGCTGGACTCCCAATTAAGGAACGGTCGCGAGTCCATCCCGGACGCTCCGTCCTTGTCAGCTAGAGCACGTAGATGCTGCCGGCTTTCCTTGTTTGGTGGAGTACCACACACGAACGGTTCGGTTCGTTAATTGCAGATTTCCCACCGTTTTATAGCATGTACTCGTACTGTATAGGAGCATAACTACGAATACACTGAATACATGATCGTGGAATCACATTTTTGTCACTGAAAGTCCAAAAACGCAGCTACCATGTCAGAATAGTGTTAAGGGATGGAGTAGTGCTACTGCTGTAGCACTGCTATAACACGACACGAAGGAACCGCGGTAATAATTGGTAAAGACTCTGAATACCTCTGACATGAACAGAAACTATCATTCTTTTCAAAAAAAGAAAGAAAGAAACTTTCATGGCATGGATCCGGCCGGGTCTGGAGTTCGAGGCGCCGAAGCTGCCAAACTGCGGGGGCGCTGTTGCGGATGCGGATGCGGTTGCGGCCAGCGGCCTCGCCTGCGCCTGCGTTGCGTGCGCGCCTCGGAACGCACGCACGCACCACACTGTAGCAACCACGAGTGCACCGGCACATGCACCTCCTCCTCCCACCTCCGCCGTAGTCCGAGAGCCGAGGCGCAGCTACAGTGCTCGCTGAGGTTTTTTCTTCGCGGCAGCAGTGCAGCTGCCGCGCCGTGAGCAAGCGCACAAGAGTCAAGGGCGAGCGACACCCCGTGTCGCCCCGCACCAGCATGCCGCATCCTTTTCGTTCCGGTCCCACTGCCACCAACAGCGCGGGGCGGGCCCCGCCGCGCAGAGCAGGCGCGTCCGGCGTCCTCCTTCTCTTCCACACGGGACCCGAGGCCGCTGACCGCCACGCTGTCCCTCCAATTCCGTCCCGCCCGCGGTCGTACTAGCTTGCGTCCGAAGCCTCGAGCCGTCCCGGGCCCGCGCCCGCGCACCGGCTCTCCGCCCACTGACACCCGGGCCCCGCCAAGGGGGCGGCAGGCTCATTTCCGCGCGGCCACGCTGCGGGACGGCGCGGAAAGGCTCCGCCTGGTCGGATCGCGGCAGGCCAGCGGGGGACGCTGGGCCACACGCGAGCAGCGGTGCCTATGACCTGCGGGCCATGGGCGGGTGGGTCCTACTCGACAGAGAGCATGTGGGTTTAATCCACGGGCCCATGCAGGGAGAGCGAGCCGTAGCTCTCGTAGGTGGAGGGGGAGAGGGGGGTGTGGGTGTCGTGTGGGTGTGGGTCAGTTTTTTTTTAATCCGCGGTTTTATTCCGCCATTTAAAAGGCCCTCCCCGGCCACGACGCCGCGGCCTTGGTTCGCCTCCCACCTCCACGCCCCCCACATCCCTTCCCTTCCCTTCCCTTCTCCAGTTCTCCTCTCCCCCCACATCTCCACTTCCGCCTCTCATCTTGCCGACGTCAAGGTTTCGTCGGTCCGCGAGCTGAGCTGAGCTGCGGCCTGCGGGGGAAGCCACCATGGCAGCCGACGCGGAAGCGGACGAGCTCGTGGCCGCAGCGGCCGGCATCATCTGCTCGATGCGCGGGGCCGACCGTGCCGGGTGGACGCCGCCGTGGCGGAAGCCGGAGCCGGAGCAGGCGCTTCGGGAGGGGGAGCTGATCTGGCCGGCGGTGGCGCGGGGGAAGCGCTCGCGCCGCCACTCGCCGTCGGCAGGCTCCTCGGGGGGCAAGGCCAGGTGGGGCAGAGCCAGCCCGGCGTCGCCGCTCGACTACAGCGGCGGCTCCGGCTCCGCCGCGTCCACCAGCGGCGGCGAGGACGGCGGCGGCTTCTGCTCCCTGGCCCACCACCGACCCGTACCGGCGACCAAGGTTCGTGGCTCCACACGCTGACGCTCCTACCTCCCCTCTGTTCCTCTCTCTTCTCTGAACTGTCGCCGCCGCCGTGCTGCTTTGGGTTCTTCTCCCTCCCCCGCCAGGCCACCACCAGTACCCTCCTCCTCTCTCTCCTATCACCTGTTGGCTCCGTTCACTTTACTGAAAAAAACAAATTAAAATACACGAGAGAAAAATACAAAAGAAAAAACTGGAAAAGAGGGATAACAAGCGAACAGCGCCGTTGTCTTTCCGAGTTTTATTTTGCCCTTTTCCCTATTTTGGTTAGCGTGACGAAACTGCCCCTAGTGGTCAGCAAAAATCCTTTCCCTTCGTCAACACCACCTCAAATCCACACTTCCTAACGACCAAACGCTCACCTCGTCTCTCCATTAGTTTGAATTCTTCGTTTGCTTGATGGGGACGTCAAGTTCCGGCTCACGTCTCGCTTCACAGATCCGCATTCTCATTCCTGACTCTGTTTACCTTTGAAATTTCCAAATTCTGCGTTGGATATTCGATACTTACAAAGCAAAAATGATTTCTTCAGCTTTTTCTCATGGTGTCTGTGCGTGTGTTTCTTTGTTCATTTATTTATTTATGCGCCGGTGGTTGACTCTTACTCGGATGAGGTGTAATTAGGTCAAGTCATGGAAGCCGGTGGGTGCGGCCGGAGCTGGGCCTTCCATGGCTTCCGTGCCGCCAGGTTTGCCAGAGCTGCCCCTGGCCTTGCCAGAAGAGGTCCCCCACGGAGCGCTTCTTTTCCCGGGGGCAGTCTGGTCATTTTCAGCCGTTCGTCCTTTTATCCCCCGGTGCAATTGCTCGTGTGGTGGGAGCGTGGAGCCTGTGGGCCCCCCTCCCTACTCGGGCGCCAGCCGCCTCCGTCCCCACCAGCTTCTGTTGGAGCGTGTTTTTTATAGAAAAAAACACTGCGAACGACCTATTTTACGTTTGGATTTTGTTTGGAGACAGTCTTAAAACGCGGCGCGACGGGGTGGGTGGAGACGGCGCGCGCGACACGTGACGTGGGGCGCCCGCCCACCGGCCGCGAGCGCGACGAGCCGGAGCTGCCCGGCGCCGCTGTGTCTGTGTGTGGGCGTCGGTGGCTGTGGCGTCGGCGAGGCGCGGGCGTACGGCGCGGCAGCGGAGTTCGCTAGGTTCCTTTTGCGTGGCGTGGACACCTGGTCCCACCTGTCGTATGTTCCTGCTGGCTGGAGAGTGGGCCCCTTTCTCCTTTGAAGAAAGGGCCCCTGGACTGGACTGGACCGAACCGCTGGACGTGGTGGGGGTTCAGCTGCGGCGGATGGCTAGTTTGGCGGATGTGTTTCTTTGCCTAACTAAAAATGGGTCATTCATGGATGAAAGAAATCGTTCGAGTTTCCCCTCGCTGGATGGAGGATTGAGGAAGAAGTACAGTAATGGACGGGTCTGTCGTGCGTGTCTCATCATGTGGTTCCCCAATTGGTGGGTGGATGGGGATATTCATTCTAGCTGGGGGTTAGGAGGGGAGGCCGGAGGGGGCCGCCGGGGGATCGGGAGCCATTCCCTAAGCATGCCGATGTCGTGTCTCGTTTTCTTTTCTGGTATCATCAGTGTCGCTGCTCTGTGCTTGCGCTTGTGTTTTGTGTTGTTTTCTGCGATAGCTGCTGCGTGATTCTGAATCCGTGATCTCGTTGGACAACTGTTGTGGGAGGTGGGTGTGGGCTCCCACTCCCCTGTGGCCTGCCTTGTTCGTGCCAGCATCGAGTATTCCAGTGTGTGTGTTTTTCGTGGGATTTGTTGTGTGCTCATTGATTGGTCATGGACTCATGGCTGCTTCCTTCCTCTCACTGCAGGTGGGCGCCATCGAACGGCCGCAGCTTATTACCTTTCCGACCCCGCTTCCACGCCCCACTGGTCAGCGACCACGGAAGAAATCGGTGAGCCCCTTGCTCTCACAAGTGATGCACTCGAACACGTCAACTTGCATATGATTCGGCATGACTGATGATGGGCTGGTGCGAGGGGGACTCGTAAACTGTTCTGAAGCTGTGTTTTGCATTAGAGTCCTCCCACGCGCTTTGCTGCTCTCAAGGGAAAGGAAGTCTGACCAGGTCGGAGTGCCACCCATTCACAGGGAAAAGGGCTTTGTTTAGTGGTGGTTGAACTAAGCCTGCACGGCTGCACTAGTTTTAGAATAAAGAAGCAGCAGCTGCTATATATCTGTCTGCGTTTGAAAGGGTGAGGGGCGGGGAGGAGGGTGAACACAAAGTGGAATCTTAAGGACAAAGCCACAAAAAGGCGTACTGGCCAAAAAGATCTACCTCATTATCATCAGGATGGTCCTGTGACCTAAAAGCCAAAAAAAATCAGTGCTATAGCATACCGAGCATGTCCTTGTGCCTTCTTGTCCTTGTGGCTTAATTTGGTTTGTCGTTTGGATCATGCAGAGGCTGCCGGAGATCCAGCAGCTGGTGCGGTCTCTCGCTGTGGAGAATGAGAACCTCCGCGAGGTTATACATCGTTCTTCATCTAGTGCTTTGAGAGTATTTCGATGGCGGTTCTGTTGACTGTATTTTGTTCTTGTTGGGCTATGTGTGCAGGAGATGCGGGATTTACAGAGAGCTTGCAAGGCGCTGTCAAAAGAAAACAACACGCTTGAGGTAACATCGACTGTATTAATCTGTTTCTCTTGTTCGTTTGTGTCCTGAATTGGTATGTGGGCCACCATATGGTATCTGTTGGTGGAATGGCTTATCAAAAGGCTGTCTTGTTTTGGCTTAAAGCATAAGTTAGATATATTTTATATTGCTACTATAAGAGTTTTTTAAGCCGCCAAAGGTAGCGGATAATCTTTAGGTTCTTTAGTTTGTAAGCTATCCACACGCAAGAAAGATGCCAAACGGTATACAAGGTTGTGGCCAGCATTATTTTCTCCCACTCATCTGTCACTGGCTGATGGGTAGGAACGTAGGATAGATGATGGGCTATATTAAATGTGGCTTTCTCATGTTTTTTTGTAGAAAAAATATTAAGTAAATATTTGGATCTGAGGTGAATGTGAAAGGGATTGTTTGTAACTCTGCCTATAACTAGTTAAGTACATGGCCTGCATCCTACTTACAAAGGCTACAAGCTTACAAACACTCGTGAGACGTGTGCGTGCCCTGAACCTGCATCTTATAAGTTATACCAAGAGACCAAATGAGAGTACTATCTAATGTTGTGTGCAAACCTACTCTTAGATATCGTTGTGTATTATGTAAAACTTGAATCATGAATATGGATTCTATTCTTAATATAATGTTACACAACTCTCTTGCATGTTCGAGATAAAAAAATCATGACTATGGATAACTACCAGTGGGCAGCAATAGCAGTATGCTTATCGTGATTTGTGTTTTCAATTTTCTTCATGAAAATTTGCACCTTCAAAAATTCAATATATGTTTGTTGTTAGATGAATTGACACTCGCAACATATTATTCAGTTGTTTAGTGAAGGATTAGGACCATGGTGGCAAGGTGTCATTTTCTGAATAACCTGTATTCCTTAAATGTGTAGTTTGTGACTAAACATCTCAGACCAATAATTAGGCTGATTGATATGCGGGGTCTCAATCTTATCTGGAGTCAGAGTAACACGCCTGCCTATGTGTATCCTAATTGAGGAGTGATTGTAACTTTAGACATGGCCCAAGGTTTGCTATTTTCAATTTAGCCTGGAAGCTTACCTGGAAACCATCTCCAAGTTAGACGGAATTCTCTCAGCGTCAGCTGAACTTCATGGTTTCCTGCAATAGTTGAGTCAGTTGTTTTTGTTTATTGCTTGAAAGTTTGAAACATTGTGCATATGTGCACAGGAAAAATGCACAATTCAGTTAGCATTAAATAAACACTTAAGACAATGTTTGAAAATGGACATATTAAGCAATTCTTTTCCTAGGGTTCTGATTTGGCAGCTTCCTAGATGCTTATAAGGGATTTCCGTGTTTAAGCTATCTTTTCAAAACGAACATTCCTGAGTATTATCTTCACAACCCTTGATTTCAAGAATGGTAAACTTGGGCCTTCATCTTCTTGAAATATGTCTATAGATGCAACAATCTATCAATATGGAGTGAATCTTTATAAACTTCTGTTACTACAGATTAAATATCCTGCTCACCTAATCCTATCTGGTTCAGTTGAAAAGTAGTTGCAACCAACTGGGCCACATTTTTTCTCCCCTGAGATAGTGTTGGATCCACCTATTATAATAACCAACATTCTGGATCTGTCTAAGCCATGTCTCATGCCCATTAATTCATATTCAGTACATGTTGATTTTGTGGAGTCCATGGATAATCTATTTTACTCAATTCTTAGTTTTGTGCTGGGTGGATCATCATCATACCCATTCCAAATACATGAGCCATTGCAGCTTCATCAGGTTTCTAATAGCCTAATAGGTTGGCCACATCTTGCTTCACCTATTTCCAGTTCAACATGTACTATCTGAAGATAAAATCGATCCAAAAAAAATAAATTGAAAATGCTTCACAAAAGGTTCGAAGGGTGGGCCTGGTGCAAGCGGTGGAGTCTTACCGCCTGTGACCGGAAGGTCCCGGGTTCGAATCGCGGTCTCCTCGCATTGCACAGGCGAGGGTAAGGCTTGCCACTAACACCCTTCCCTGGACCCCGCACAGAGCGGGAGCTCTCTGCATTGGGTACGCCTTCAGAAAAGGTTCAATGGTTTTCATGAGTTATCAATAAGAATTCAATGCTTGGCTGTGATACCCTTGCTTTTAAATGTTTAGTTTGTATTTACATAAATCAAATTGGGAACAATAGGGACATCTAATATAATGTTGTTTTCATTGTGCAGACAAGGTTAGGGCAATCGAACTCTCAGAACGAAATCACTTCAAAGAAGCAGAAAGGAAAGGAGCAGCTTGATCAGCAGTCGGTTACGCAGTCCGCACGAGACAGCTTCGTGCTACCAGATCTCAACCTTCCCCCAGAGGATTCTGCCGATGTTTCAACAGTTCATTGATCACTCCAGATTGCTGCAACTTTGTTAACCGAATAACAAGTGAGTCTTGGTGGCGGGAACCACCACGTCATCCTTTAGAGAATGACACGTATTCGATAATTTGTTACTAGATCACAGAGTTTTACTACCACTATAGTCGTAAGTGATAAGCCACATCTGTAGCTAAAGGGAAGTCTAATTTTAACTCACCTGACATGGTTTTGCCTAGTGCGTTTGCATATGGTAGAGCTGAAGACGATTTCAGCTCAAACTGATCTCCACGCTGTAGTGGATGATTTAGATGAATTTATTCACGTTATTTCGTTCAATTAGGTGAAATGTTACTTGTGAAGATCTGGTATTTATGAGAAAACTGTTACTCATTTCTGTATGTTTTATGGATCTTTTCATTCTTTTGTTACTTCAGTTGCAACTATCAGCCTTTCTTTCGTTGTTCTACCAAGTTCTGGAGGACTAATAGTTTTCTAATGGCTACTGCTTGTGGGCTTAATCTGGTCGATAAAGCAAAAACATTGACGCGCTGGAATTCTGAGGGATGGGCCGAACTTTACAATTCAAGGTCAAGGGGCGAAATGTTTGGCCTGGTGGGATTCCAACATCGAAGCTGGGTTTACACAGTTGTGATGCTGGACAGCGACAAAGAAGGAAAATGATAATTTTCATCAACTCCAATGTATGAGAATATGATTTGACATTAAATTAATTTCTAGGCGTTCCTGTTCCAAGTGCATTCAACCTTCCGATTCTAGGTTTGTACACGAGTTAATTTCTAGGCGAAATGTTTAGTGGTAACTGGTAAACTTAACAGTGCGCTCTTCCTGTAAACTTGTAGAGCAAAGATGGTTGGAATGGGTGCTCTCCACTCTCCAGGCCGTGGGCCCTTTGTACAACTTTAGCTACAGATACAGGCAGGCTTTGGTCGCTGTCATACTGGTTTCTTTCGTTTTCCAACTTTGTAAACATCTAGCCTTTTGAGGGTTGATTGCAATTTGCCCTAGTTAGTGCCATGTTCTCCGGCACTCACCTGAATTGGATACGTGCACAAGTGATAACATTAATTACTTATAGCAATATATCAATGTGACATAAAGTTTGGTTTGTCCTCACCCAAATGGTGGTGGTAGCGTACTGGTGTTGGTTTTTTCCAGCTAATTTTGGTGCATTCTAAAAAATTTAGGACAACTTAAGGGAACACTCAAATGACGTATGTAGCCATAGATTATTCTAATTAAGGAGTTTCTCCTTAAATCATAGTTTCATTTTTAATAAACTTTGCCAAATTAAGGCATATTTACATAGAATGCATTTTATTTAAGTATAAATTTTAGAAGTCACAATGCACTGTATTACAGGACAGAGGGAGTAATAAGTGTGAATTAGGTTGATGGTGATCTTTTGTCAGGTATACCTTTTTTGTTTTTCCCCGGGGTGTAAGATTTTCATTCTCTTTATATTTTGAAAATGCGACCATTAGAATCAGTTTTGATGGCACGACATACTTTTTAGTTATTTACTCTTTTTTTGAACATTTAAGTTATTTACTAGTTCCTCCATTGTAAATTATTGTACCGTATGGTGAGATTTTAACCGATTCAGGCCTCTCCATGTACTATAGCATTCCAAAAATACTGTACCCTATGGTGGCATTTTGACCGTTTTAGGCTTTTCCATGTACTATAGCATTAACAGCAATGGATTGTTTTTACTGCTATCTCAAAATAAACAAAGGGCTTGTGTGTCGAATATGTCCTCCCTCTGTTCCAAATTATATGTCGTTTTGATTTTTTTGGTATATTTATTTTGCTATGCATCTAGATATAATAATATGTCTAGATACATAGCAAAATGGATGAACCAAAAAAGTCAAAGCGACTTATAATTTAGAACCGAAGGAATATAAATTAGTTTGGCTTTGTTCTAAGTCAAATATTTCTACAACAGCAAATTATTTTCATTTAGTCGATCATGCAATATGTATTGAGAGTGCACATATTTGATATTCTAGATGTCAATATGTATTGAGAGTGCACATATGAAAAGGTTGACTTAGTATAAAGCCAAAGTGACTTATGATTCGCAAATGGAGGGAGTACTTAAGTTTCAATATAAATATGGTGACACTTAGCACTTAAAATTCCATTTAGCATCGAGGCACCAATTTTGAAGAATCTTGATTGCCAAGTAAAACAACTATATAAAATGGTGATAATACGAGAAACAATTCTCATGGTGATTCTATGTGCTACTGGTTCTTTGATGCTTTCCTCATTCTCAAGCATGGATACTGCCATCATGTTGTTGAGTCTTTCTCTACATTTGAAGTCGTGGTGACTTTATCACTGACAAGTTGGCCAAGTTTTAGAAAACTAGATTAATAGACCGTGATTACATCATTTAATCAAATTACTCCTTTTGGTAGAAAAAGACACTCGTTTAGAATAGTGGCGGAGCATGAAGCAAATTATAGGAGGGGCCAATTTGCATCTAAACAAAAAAAAAATATACACAAGCATCTTCCATTTTTCTTGTTTTCTTCCTTAAATTGGCATAGTGCTCCACAAGTAGCAGCTCAATACCTGCTTTCTCTCTCATCAGTCGAGTATCATCACAGACACCACCATTTTTCTCTTCTCTTGCATGGCCAGCCAAGGCGTTGCTGCTCAATCGTCTTCTCTTCGTTCTTTTATCCTCCTCAAGCCAACAACAACAAAGCCACATCCATTCTGATTTATAAGTCTTCACAAAATTCTCGGTGGCAGGGGGAGGGGGGCGTGTGGCCCACTTTAGCCCCAACGTGGCTCCGCCTATGGTTTAGAATTATATATTTGGTCAAGCTTTAACAACTACCGGTATCAATAACTTCTAAACTATTTGGTCCGAAAAACATGAATATTTGTATTGGAAAATACTTGCACAATCTTATAATTTTTATTGAAATTAAAAAAACATCTTTAACCGGAGGGATTACCGGTTACACAAAGTCAAGCGTACCTAACTGAAATTAGCAATTAGCACACCCACTCTGACAAGTGTCGTCGGTCCCCACGCAGCGGATGTGGTCACACTCACACACAGCTGCCCTGCACAGCTGACGCGCCTGCGCCTGGGCCCACCTGCGCGCTGCGCCGGCGACGAAAGAAAACCAACCCCAGTCCGTGAAGCCTTCCAACCAAAATCAAGAGACTTTTCTCTGTGTGTCATTATAAAAGATCGTAATTTCGCGTTCAATATGCTTTGCACACCTGCGCAAATATGTTATTAATATTTTTTGAATCATCATATTTTTTTGCAAAAAAAAATGAAAAAAGTTGTTTTATGCGCGACCGAAACGAAAAAAATAAGATTTGATAACCCCAGTCCGTGAAGCCTTCCAACCAAAACCAACCCACGCCATCATCCATCCATCCATCCGCTTGCCCCTCCCACCACCACCAACCAACCGAAACCCCCAACCGCCGAGGTCGCCGGCGACTCCGTCCGCTCCGCGCCGCGGGGATGTCGTTCCACTACCCCGACCACGGGCTGTCCATGGACGCCGCGGCAGCGGCGGCCGCCGCCGCCGCCGCGTCGTCGCCGAGCCCTAGCGGCTTCTCCTCCCCCGGCGTCGGCGGGGAGAGGGAGAAGGCAGCCATCGCGGCGCACCCGCTGTACGAGCGCCTCCTGGAGGCGCACGTCGCCTGCCTCCGCGTCGCCACCCCCGTCGACCAGCTCCCCCGCATCGACGCGCAGATCGCCGCGCGCCCCCCGCCGCTCGCCGCCGCCGCTGGGGCTGCGGCCGCGGGAGGGCCGTCAGGCGGCGAGGAGCTCGACCTCTTCATGGTACGGCTCTCAACACCCCCAATGGGCTCCTTTCTCCCTCTCCCGCCTGCTTTGCAGCTGTGCGCTGCAGTTGAACTGCTATAGGCATGCGGATTTACGGTGTGGGGAATTTGGGATTGAAGGAAGTATTGGTTGACTGGGTGACCTGTACCCGGAATCTCTCATATTACGGCGAGAAAATTACATATTTGGGACTCCAAACAATGCACTTCGCAGATTTAGAACTCCAAACATAGACTTCGTAAAAATAGCACTTCAAACGTTGAACTCTTGATTTTCATGGCATTAGATGTATTTCATCTCTTTTTAAATCTTTGTACATGTATTTGTGACCTGGATGGATGATTTTGCCCCTGTGGCCTCACGTACAGGCCTTGGGCTCGGTTTGGCTCGTTGACCAGGTTGGCTGGCCGCCTCCGGTGCATGCTGGCCGCCACCTGGGCATGCCTGGCCATGTTCGCTGGACTTAAAATACAGTAAAAATTCACAAAAATAGAGCAGTGGACATGGCTTCTGCCGGTGCGCTCAGGCCCTCTGCCGGCGCGTCCAAGCCTTCAGGTAGCGCGGCCAGGCCAGAGGCTGCAAGGGCTGCGGCTGCTTGGCCATCCATGGCGAGCGGGCGGCCATCCTCTTCATCGGGCAGCGTTCCATCCATGGGCGTCGAGGTTGGGGAGGGAACGGCGGCGTCGGGGGTTAGGGTGTCGAGGGATAGAACGACGAAGGAGAGATGGAACGTTGGGCAGATGAAACGCTCGATCAACGATATGTAAGGCCAGAAGGGCAAAATGGTTAGATTAGGAGAGAAATACATGTATTAGGAATAAAAAAGGGATGAAATACATCTAATGTCATGAAAATCAAGAGTCCAACGTTTGGAGGGCTATTTTTACAAAGTCGATGTTTGGAGTCTTAAATCTGCGAAGCGCATTGTTTGAAGACCCAAACATGCAATTTTCTCTATTACGGCTCCGCTTTGACTATAAGTTTCCCGGTTTCCCCATTTTTCTACATGGACTTGGAGAATTGAGAGAAGGAATCCCAAGCTAATTGTCAAGCTGTGATAGTACTTGCGAAGTAGGATGGGGATAAGGTCATAGTCTCATGTGTGGAGCCTTTTTGTGATAGTACTTGCGAAGTAGGATGGGGATAAGGTCATGGTCTCATGGGTGGAGCCTTTTTGTGGTTATGCTTATTAACTGCATAGTTGACTGACTTATGGTAGTTGACCTCATTCCTCATGGCTCAGTCAAAGAATTGCATCAGATCACTGTAACCCTTCCTTCTATTTGTTTCAATTAATAGGGGGCAATTGCCCTTTTCATATGGCTGCTTGAAATTGCCCTTTTCACCTTTCATGTCGAGGATGTGGACTGGCTATTATGTGATGGCAGGTCATATGCTGAAACGGGTGTTTGCTATTGTACCATTTGTACTGATTTAATTTCGTCTAATTTTTGTTCTATTGTCATGCCATTTACTGGATTAAATAAGCCTATGCACTGATGCTTCTACCTCACTATGTGTTTCACAATGACTCTGTTGCTTCACTAGAAGCAGAAGTTGTCTTTGTCTAGGATTCTGTACATAGTTAACATCTTGCATCATCTGTTTTCGTCGGGCATTCCTGTTCTCAGATTCTAATACGTTTCATTTTTTTTTATTACAGACACACTATGTGTTGCTCCTTTGCTCATTCAAGGAACAACTCCAGCAGCATGTACGTGTTCATGCAATGGAAGCAGTGATGGGTTGCTGGGAGCTTGAACAATCTTTACAAAGCCTAACAGGTGGATTGTTTTTCTTTTTTTAATCTTGTGTTAATTCAGAAACGTGGCTGAAGCTTTCAGATATACACCACTTGCTTTTATCATTTCAATAATTGCAGCCTTGCTGTCAGATGAAAAGATGACAAAGTGCTTTCAGTATTTATTGCAATTATGTAGTAATTGAATGAATGGAAACATCAGCATTAGCTAAAAAGGAAACAGTGAAAAGAAAAAATATTTTGCAAAAGTATGAGTATGTGATGGCTCTTATTTCATGCCTTCCAATTGCATACCTTTTCAACAATTTCTTAGCCAACACTGAAGAATATTTGTTTAAAATATGTACAGTACCTTCTATAGTGAATACTGAATACCTAAGCTTCTAAGGCCACACTCAGAATGTAAAGGCTAGCATACGAGCTGCCATAAATTATTGATTATCACATATAGCATTCACTATTGTTTATTTTATTCGATGCAAGTTGCTATTAGAATCTCAAGGACGTGTGAGGCCATGGCAAGAGCTTAGTCTATCACTGATCACAGATGGTTGCCCATGATAAGCATTCGTAGAAATGAGGATTGCTGACAGGGAGAGGTGGTTGCACGATAAAACTAAATTTCTTATCCTACATTCCTACTTTGAGTTTTATACCGAGGTTTAGACAACTTGACCTGGTGTTTGGTTGGATTTAGATGTGCAACTTACAGAAGGGTCTTATGCAATGTCAACTAAGATGGTTGTACCTTCTATTCTTGCACCATGTACACCTGAACTGAAATTGTGAGAGTAGCTAATAGAACAGTTCAATGGAAATCATCATTGTCAGGCAAAACTGAGTGATGCTAGGATTGGTTCTGCAGGGGCATCTCCTGGTGAAGGTACAGGAGCGACCATGTCTGATGATGAAGATAACCAGGTGGATAGTGAAGCCAACATGTTTGATGGAAATGATGGGTCAGATGGTATGGGCTTTGGCCCCCTAATACTGACAGAGGGTGAACGATCCTTGGTTGAGCGTGTTAGGCAGGAGCTGAAGAATGAGCTTAAGCAGGTTACTTTCTTTGAAATGCTTCATTCATCATCATTTATGGTGCATGTTGACTAACGAAATATTTCCTACATCTAGGGTTACAAAGAAAAGCTTGTTGATATCAGGGAAGAGATTATGCGCAAGCGCAGAGCTGGGAAACTTCCTGGAGATACTGCATCTGTACTGAAATCTTGGTGGCAAGCTCATTCCAAGTGGCCATACCCAACTGTATGTGACAACACTGTCAATACCATTCCCTCGTTAACTTTTGCTATCAGCTTCTGTTCATTGACGAGCAACTCTTTGCTTACTCATCTAGGAAGACGACAAGGCTCGACTGGTCCAGGAAACTGGATTGCAGCTAAAGCAGATCAACAACTGGTTCATTAACCAACGCAAACGGAACTGGCACAGCAACCCAACATCCTCGGGTGAAAAGACTAAGAAGAAAAGGTATCACAATGAAAACTGCTTTGCTGTTGCCTAAGCTTTGACAGGCAGAATTGCAGCTTGCCACAAATTTTTTTTTTGTACTTGCACTGTTTTCAACATGTAATATTGGAAACGTCGCAGGTGATGATGGCCCAGAGCAATCTTGACGAAGCTAGATATGTCCACTATACTTTATGGCAAAATACATTCTCCCTCACCGTAGGCAAGAGGGAAGATATGCATCCTGGGTGGCCTAGTGGTCACCTAATGCCCAAGTTTGACCACGTGGTGGGGACTGGAGTTGGTAGTGACCTCTGCAGTATAGCATTCGCTAATGTGACGTGGGAATCACGTGTTGTATAACTGGCGAATGGGAGGGAGTAATTTATGTTGTATTGTAATTGTGTATTTTCTTTACCATGTAATGATATTTTAGGGAGAATCCCAAGATTCAGATTGGCCGTTCACTGTATTGCCGGTGGTAAAAGTGGTGGGCAATCATCGTGTTCAGAGTTCACCTCCTGAAGGGGTATGTAATGGCTGGTATGTTGGATGTCATGCATGTTTTAGCTGATTGTCGTTTGTGTTACTTGCCTGCTGAGTTCGATGCTTGGATTCCTTCGAAGATGTTGTAGATTCAGATGTGGGAGCATATTTTGTTGCTCAGATATGCCCTGAGTCTCCTTTGCAGTGGCTCCCAGACGATCAAGCATGCAGTTGTGGTAGCACTTGCTCGCTGGCCACAGGTTGAGGTTGTCCTTAAGACCTCAAGGATTACTGTCTTTGAAGTCGAAATGGCAGTGAGTGAAGCTCGTGAGCGCAAAGAAAACAGCCGAAGCAACTTTATAGTACAGGGACCAGGTCAAGCAGCGACCGAGCAGGTGGAGTCCAAACCACGCGGCCTCTGACTGGGATGAAAGATCACCAAGCTAGCCAAACCATGATTCGTAGCAGTACTATCCTAATCTCTTCCCCGCTCGTCGTTTTCGCTGAAAAAGACGCGGCCGGAGCGCAGATTTCTAATTGGGGCCTTTCTAATTTCTTGTTCCCCTTCCCCGCCGTCTCCGTCGCGTCGATAGCAAGGCCAGCTTGCTGTCCCGACCCCAATCAAGTCCAAAGCTAGAAAATTAATCACTCGCGGAAATGGTACGTTTTGTGGGACCAACCTAGCACGCATGCGTCTCACAGGAAAAATCACAGCCTGGGATTCAGCGACGAAGTCAGAAAAAAAATTAGAAGGGGCTGAACAAAAACAATAGAGACTTTTTTTATCTTCTCTTAATATTAACCCCTCCTATTTAATACATATATGCATAAAATTTTAAGAGAGAGCTTAGGAGGACTCCACGTGCCCAGGATCGGTAGGGGGGCTAGAGCCCCCCCCCCCCACCGCTGGCTCCGTCGCTGCTGGGATTGGATCTACCCAACTAAAATTTAGTTAATTAAAAATTTAAAACTAAACTTTAGCCAGCTATAAATTCTCATAACTAAACTTTAGCCATGGTGTTTGGATCCTCTGACTAATAGACCCAGCTAAACTTTAGCCGGTCTTTTAGCTGTGTCGTTTGGATCTGCACCAACTACAAAGTTTATAGAAAAATACAAGAAAATTGTAATTATAGGACGTGAAATAATGCGCTTCGCTGTTATAGGATTCCAAACATCGATTTCGCTAAAATGATCCTTAAAACGTTAACACTTTGTTATACATGACATTTGATCTTTTTAATTACTTTTCTCAATTAAAATACATATAGTTTGTTATACATGACGGCTGCCTCTCCTTCCGCCCTCGCTGTCGAAGAATCAAAGTGTCGGTGTTTTGGAACCGGGGGTCCCTCAACCAACGAGTGAATTTGTCTCACTGTGCCCCTAATCCCTTGATGGTGACGCAAAGAGACACAAGGTTTATACTTGGTTCGTAAATCGAGGCCCTACGTCCACCAGAGAGATCGATCTTGTATTCCTTGCACCAAGTGCTCGTAGTAGGGGGTTACAAGCTAGGTGAGAGAAACTAGCCCCAGTCTCTCGGCGAGCGAGGTGTGGGTCGCTGAGGCGTTGTTCCCAAGCAACAGAGGAGTGCGTGGTTCTATCGGCGTGTTCGCCTTTCCTGCCTCTCCCTAGAATGGCCCCAGATCCTCCCTTTTATACTCTAAGGAGGACCGGGACCGTGCAGTGGTGCTACATAGCGCTTCAGAATGGGGTGGCGGTCCGAGCCTGTAGTCGTCCCACCGTTGTGGTATGGTCGATGGAGTGGCCCGCCCTTGTCATGCGGAAGTGACATGTCGGGTCATACTTTCGGTCTTGTGCGTCGTGGGGCTCCAAGACGCTTGATGCGGGACATGGCGGCGACGACGTCTTTGTCGCCGTGTAATGACGTCGTGAGGGAGCAATGGCTCGCAGATGCCGAGGCCGAGCCATCGTGGGGGCTCGGTGGTCATGGACCCTCAGTCGCCGAGCCCGTGAAGCAAACTGTCCGAGGCCTTGGGGGAGTTATTGGCCCAGGTATCGATTCCGAGGCCACAGAGCCAGACGTGGCTCCCCATGCCGCATTGTCCTTGGGCAGGAGTTGGCGACACAAATGAGGCATGGGTGTCAACCATGTGCACGGTGGATAGCATAGTGACGGGTAACCCCCGCCCACCCGGGGGACGTCAGTCATCGCGTGATGATGCGTCGTGAGGGGTCGTGGCTCAGAGGTGCCGCCGAGGCCAAGCCATCGCGGGGGCTTTGGCGGACATGGGTCCTCGGGCTCGAGCCCCGGAGCAAGCTGCCGAGGCCTTGGAGGGAATTATTGCTCCTGGTCATCGATTCCGAGGCCACAATAGGCTCAGATGTGGCTCCCCACGCCGCATTGTCCTCGGTGCGTGAGTTGGCAAAGATAGTGAGGCATGGGCGTCCAACCCATGTGCACGGTGGTTAGTATGCATGGCGGGTAACCCCGCCAGATCCTCCTCCTGTCCCCATCGGCCATTCTCACACATCTTTGTCTGCAGGGCATGCGGCGTCGTTGTCGGGCGGCAAAGTAGCTTGGGTGAGTTGATGCGACACGACGTTTGCCAGAGGGGACGGAGAAGGAAGAGGTAGCGGAGTGCTGCCGAGCCCGCCTTGCGCGAGACGGAGGGTCGGTGGCCTCGGCCGAGGCCTTTGGCGGGGAATCGACCGAGGCCCGCGGTGAGGGGGCCTCGGGCGAATCGGAGAATCGGCTGAGGTCCGCGGTGATGAGGCCTCGGGCGAGTCGGAGAATCGGCCGAGGCCAGCAGGATGATGGGGCCTCGGGCGAGTCGAGAATCGGCCGAGGCCCATGATGGGGCCTCGGGCGAGTCGGAGAATCGGCCGAGGCCAGGCAGCTTAGCTGGTTTCGATCTTTGACGAAATCTAAGCGATGCTTTTTTGGATCTTGCTTAGGGTACCCCTTCTCATGGTATCCGACAGTAGCCCCCGAGCCTTGGGGGGAGTGGAGGCACTCCCCCTGAGGTTCTGACGAGAATTGGCTCTTGATAGCTCCTGTCGGGATGGTGTTTTGTTTTCGAGGTTTCGGTGGGTGCGCGCGAGCGCACCCGCCGGGTGTAGCCCCCGAGGCCCTGGAGGAGTGATTTCACTTCTTGAGGGCTTTTTCTTTCGAGTGAGGCGTTTTGATCGTGTTTGCCGGGCCCGTGGGTGCGAGTTCAGATCATGGGCCTCGACGATGTTGCGGAAAGAGCCCCTTAGCCTCCGCCTGGAGCGAGAGGGCCGTCAGGGGTTCTCCCGGCTTTTTTGTATGACCCTCGTGCTTCCTTTTCGCTCGGAAGGAGGGGTGAAAGATGCCATGCCACCCTCGGTGGGCGCGAGCGATGGCATCTCCGGTGAGCTGTTATCGGGTAAGTCCGAGTGGAGGCCCGTGCTCCCGCTCATTGGGGTCGGCTAGCGGTCCCGGAGACGCGCCCAAGAGTACCGGAGGGTTTCTCTAGTGGGTGCCGAGGCCGTTCATTGGGCCTCGGTGGCTCGGTGCCTCCCTACGGTGGGATCCCATTCGGAGACCTCCCTACCGGTCTCGGACACAACACAGTATGCGTGCTTGTGCAGGCTCGCCTGTAGTCGCCCCTCGACTCTTTTTGCCTCAAGCGGTGCCGAACCCCACAGGGGCCAACTTTCAACCCCGGACCGTGAACGGGATCGGGTCGCTTGTTTTTATCTTGGGTGCAGGAAGAGCCCCCGAGAGCCTTCGCGACGGAGCGAGAGGGCGGTCAGGGGTCCTCCCGACTTTTTGCCAGTCCCCGCCTGCCCTTTTCGCTCGGGACGGGGGGCATTTGTTCGAGTCCACTCGTAGCGAGCTGAGCTTGGGTCTCGGCAAAGTTTGCGTGAGGAGCCCCGAGTCTCTCGCGACGGAGCGAGAGAGCGGTCCGAGGTCCCCCGGCTTTTGGTTCGCCCCTGGCGTGAGGTCTGGCTGACCGCCCCCTCGGGTGCGAGCCTAGGTCATGGGTCTCGGCGTCTTTTGCGTAAGAGCTCCCTAGCCTCAGACGGAGCAAGAGGGCCGTCGGGAGTTCTTCCGGCTTTTTGAACGACCCTCGCGCTTTCTTTTCGCTTCGGAAGGAGGGTTGGTTTTGCCGAGACCCTCGTGTGCGAGCTCAAGCCAAGCCATTGGCTCTCGACGCTTTTGCGTGAAGAGTCCCTTAGCCTCTGCACGGAGCAAGAGGGCCGTCAGGGATTCTCCTGACTTTTTATTCGACCCTCGCGCTTCCTTTTCGCTCGGAAGGAGGGGTGGAATGTGCCACGCTACCCTGGGCGGGCGCGAGCGATGGCATCTCCGGTGAGTCATTATCGGGTAAGTCCGAGTGGAGGCCCGCACTCGTTCATTGGGGTCGGCTAGCGGTCCGGAGACGCGCCCCAAGAGTACCGGAGGGTTTCTCTAGTGGGTGCCGAGGCCGTTCACTGGCCTCGGTGGCTCGGTGCCTCCCCTACGGTGGGATCCCATTCGGAGACCTCCCTACCGGTCTCGGACACAACACAGGCGTCCCAAGCGTTTAACTTGCTTGGGCCTCGGCTTTGTAGGGCTCGCCGTGGTGCCCCCCCTCGACTGTTGCCTCAGGGCGGCCGTCGAAACCCCTAAGGGCCCAAATTGAAACCCCGGACCGTAGCGGGCTTGGTGCCCGCCTTTGCTCGGAAGGAATCGGGGTTATTTCTCTCCCTACGGTTAATTAATGGCGGCGCGTTTTGAGGCGGCTTTTTCGGGAGGCGAACGGCTCCTCGCCTGCTCGCTGGCCGTTTGACGCGACGTATGCCGTCGACGGGACGACTACCGCACGCGATTAACGAGGAGGGAAGCCGACGGGACGTACCTGCACGCGCGATTAACGAGGAGGGAGTGTGTGCGTGGGCGGTAAGACCGGATCTGGATAACCGCGCCGGATTTTTTGGGGGAAACTTCCCGATTTAAATCGCCCGCGTTTTCGCCTTGTCACTTTGCATAAATACGCGAAAAGGCCTTGCCCTTCCCTTCTTACCTCTCTCGCATTCGCTTTTCTTTGCCTCCGTGCTGCTGTTCTTGAGAGCATAGAGCGCCGGGAAGAGAAGGGCGAGGGCGAGAGACCAAAAGAGAGAGAGGGGAGAGATTACCAGAGTAGCAGCGTCCTCCGCCACAAGAATGGCCGGTGGTCCCGCCATCCTCCCGGCGGATCCTCGGGGCGGTCCGACGTCACCGAGGAGAAGCTGCGATGCCGCTCGAGGAGGCGGTCTTCTTCGCCGATCACCGACCCCGACGAGCGAGTGGATTGCTCCGGGAACGAAGTCGGAGCCGAGGCCGCGCGACGGCTACGTGGTGAGCTTCGTCGCTTCTTCCACGAGCGAGGCTTGGTCGCCGGTGGATAACTTCATGCGGGCGCTCCCGCACTACTATGGCGTGGAGTTTGCACAATTTCAGCCCCAACTC